TTTTCAAATAGGAAATGTTTAGACAAATGATACCAGCTTACATTGGTTCATCCCTTTACATTTTTCAAAGTGCTTTGCCAAATGTATTATTGATGATAATTACAATCCAGAAATATGGACAGAGAAAATATTATTCTCATTTTACCAATTAAGAAACATGGGGCTGGAGGAGTGGCATAAGCAGTAAGACCGCCTGCCTAGCAAGCGTGAGGCCCCGAGTTCAAACTCCATTGCCACCCACCCTTCCCACCCCCCCCAAAAAAAGACGCTGGTGGCTCACTCACACCTGTAATCCTAGTACTCAGGAGGCAGAGATCAGAAGGATCATGGTTCGAAGCCAGCCCAAGCAAATAGTTCACGAGATCCTATCTCGAAAAAACCCATCACAAAAGGGATGGTGCAGTAGCTCAAGGTATAGGCCCTGAGTTCAAGCCCCAGTGCCACCAAAAAAGAAAAAAGAAAAGAAAAGAAAAAAAAATGGGGAAAAGATCAGAGAATTTAAATATTGTATCCCCCCACAAATACTGCACCATCCTTCTAGCTGTAGTCAATCTACATCTGTGTCTAAATATGTCAACCGATATATAGGAGACACAGACACACACAGATATCAAACACTGAGCACTCACTGTGTTATTAGAACAAGTAAACATTCAGTAAATATTTGTTGAAGCACTACACAGATATGTCAAACTGGAAACAGCAGTGACCAAGACCCATGGCCACATCTTCCTGAAGCCCACATGGATTCTGGGCTATGAAAATAATCACTGATTAAGCAACTATAAGTGTGAGGAATGTCACAGCAGGGGAAATAAAGGATGCTGAGGATGTGTGGAAACTTAGCCTACTTTGTTGGTCAAAAAGCAGAATTTAAGCTGCTTTGAAAAATCAAGAGGATTCACTTAGATTCAAAATGAAAATGCAGAGACAATGCTTACATTGGAAGAAAATATTTGCAACCATACATCTGATAAGAGGCCAATATCCAAAATAAGGAGGTCAAGCAACACTAAGAGCAATAAGACAAATAATCCAACCAAAATAATGGGCTTGGTGGCATGTCTGTAATTCTAGCACCTGAGAGCCTAAGGCAAAAGGCTGAGGCAGTATGTATCCCAAGACTTGGGATAGTGAATTTGAGGCTAGCTGGGACTACACAGCAAGATCATGTCAAAAAAAAAATAAATAAATAAAGGACATAAAACCTAAAAAGCCATTTCTCAAAAGACTTACAAATGTCCAACGGATATATGAAAAATATTCATCACTAATAACTAGGGAAATGAAAATTAAAACCACAGTGAAGTTGGACATCAGTGGTGCATGCCTATCATCCTAAGCTACACAGAAGTCAGATCAGGAGGATTTCAGCTTCAGGCAAAGCCAAGCCAGGCAAAAAGTTTACAGGATGGAAAAAAGTTGAGCATGCTGGCACACACCTGTCATCCCAGTTACACGGAAGGCATAAAATATCAGGACTGTAGTCCAGGCCAGTCAAGGCAAGAAAAGCAAGACCCTACGTGAAAAATAACTTCAGCAAAAAAGGCTTGGGAGCATAGCTCAATCGGTAGAGTACCTGCCTAGCAAACACAAGGCCCTGAGTTCAATTCCCAGTTTCAGAAAAAAAAAGACAGCAAGTGCTGGCAAGGGTGTGAAAAAAAGGAAAGCTTTACACACTGTGGGTGGGAATGGAAGATAGTGTAATTATTATGGACAACAGTATGGAGGTTCCACAGAACTAAAATAGCTCTACCACCTTACCTAGCAATTCTACTTCTGAGTATACAACCAAAGGGATAAATCAGTGTGCCCAACAGATAACTGTCTCTGTGCTTATCACAGCACCATTCCCAATAGCTAAAATACGGAAGCAACCTATGTCGAATATGGATGAATGAACAAAAAAATGTGGCACACACACACATTGGAACATTATTCAGCCTTAAAAAGACATTGTATCATTTGAGACAACATGGAAACAAACCTGGAAGACATTACGCTAAATGAAATAAGGCAGGCACAGAACAACAGATAGCATATAATCTCTCTCATAAGTGGAATCTAAAATCATCAAACTCAGAGTAAAGCGGTAGTTACTGTGGCTGGTGGGGGTGACTGAAAGGAGAAAGTAGAGATGTTGATCAAAGTATATAAACGTCCAGTTAGAAAGGAAGAATAAGGTCTAACAATTGATTGTACAGAATAGAAACCGTAATAAATAATAATGCAGTATATATTTTAAAACTGCTTAGATTTTAAATGTTATCACCACACATATACAAAAAAAGGTATGTGTTAATTAGCTTGATTTAATCATTCCACAATGTAAACATATATCAAAACACCAGTGTACTCCATAATTGCTTATAATTACTTTTCAGTGAAAATATTTTTTTTAATGAAGGCACTACAGGGGTACTCTATGCAGAAGGAGCAGCAAGTATCAAAGGTCTGGAGCAGAAGCACATATGTCATCCACATGGCCAAAACATACAGTGGCATGCTACGACACTGGAGAGGAACCAGGCCAGATCAGGCAGGTACTACAAGCTGTACTATGACCTTAGGACCCTTTTAAACTAGGGACAATGGAAAAACATTAAACAATTTTTAGCAGGGGAGCAATAGGATATAATCTGCTTAAAAGGAATTCTGACTGTAGATAGAGAATGGAATGAAAGAAAAGGTATAATGAGGGATGTGTAAGGTGCTATTTCAAAAGTCCAGTCAAGAGCTGGAGGTGTGGTTCATGTGGTAGAGTACTTCCCTAACAAGCATGAGGCCCTGTGTTCAAACCCCAGAACGACAACAACAAAAAAGCAAAGCAAAAGACAAAAGCTAGTAACTTAGGCCAAACTGACTGCAGTGGAGAAATAAATGAATTCAGTATTTATGAGACACAATCAACAAGACTTGTCAACTGAACTTTCTGATTGTTAGGTGTAGAGGGTGAGGGTTTTTTGCCTGAGCACCTGGAGAAGGTGCAGGTTGAAAAGATAAATGGTCTTAGACAAGCTATAGTAAGGTGTATGTAAGAAATCCAAGTGGAAAAGACTTAGTAAGCAGCTATCTAGGTTGAGGGTGATTGAGAGAGGTCCAGAGTAGAAATATTGCTTTAAGGGAGAGGAAAAGAATGAGACACCCTAAAGAGAAAGAACAGAATAAGAAGGCAGGTGACATAAACAGAGCCTTGAGATACATCAACCTCTCTGGCAAGGAGCAGGCAAAAGAGATTGAGTGACAGCGTCTGGTCCTAAATGCTACGTGGAAATCTGTTACCTTAACCATGTGACTACTAAGAGTGTTACTAACACATCATTCACCTCTGTAGTCCTTCTTGCAATGCTGCAAAATCATTCTACTAAATTCATTCCTACCCGTCCCAGTCAAAAGAGATAAAAAAATCACCCAGTCAGAGCATCAACTCAACGAAGTATCTAAGGATTCTCCACCAGAAAAAAACCTGATGCTGACAATCCTCTGTCTTCATTCTGTCTTCTTACTAGAGACATCAAAGACATTTACATTTTTAGATAGACTGGGACAGCTGCACAAAGTAAATTTATCAATATCTAAATACAAAATACAAAGCGAATTATTTCACACAAATTACCACATGCATTCAAAGAATATACAATGGGAAACTGTTAAGTAGGTAAACTTATGCTTGTCACTTTTTTTTTTTTTTGGCGGTACTGGGATTTGAACTCAGGGCCTCATACTTGCTAAGCAGGTGCTCTACCACTTGGGCCACTCCGCCAGCCCTAGAAAACTTATTAAGTTTCAATTTTTAAGTTGAAAAAGTTCCATAGATCTGTTTCACAATATGAACATATATACTCAACACATCTGAACTGTACACATAAAAATGGCAACTTTTGTTATTGTTTTTGCAATATGAAGATAATCAAAAATATTAATATGGTTACAATATTGAATATATTATTAAAATATTGTCCCCTTACTGAAAAGTCTTGCTTTGCACTGGCTTGGAACAAGTCAAAGAATAACATATACTGTGAATTCCATCACGTTCCTAGTGAAAGTATTGTGCTTCCATCCTGAAAAACAAGATTTGACCCACAGCACGTTGTAGTCTACATTTTAAAACTACAATAGAAGGCACCAGTTTTGCTTGCTGATGTGGCTTCCTGAAGAGAGTTCCTTAACAGCCTGGAAGAACTGTGGCGTTATCTGGTCTCCCAGAGCTTCATTTGCTCAGAGGAAACCTATCACCATCCTAGTCATCCAGAAGCGAAAATGCAGCCATACAATCTTAAATTCCCCTTGAAAACATTTACCCACCTCCGTCAAAGCCACCCGCAGTTAGTTTGGGGGGCAAAACGCACTGCCCTCCTGGATGCCAAGCCTTTCTCTCTGGAGCCTGGGATGATGAGGGTACCTACCACCTTTGGCGAGGACACCCTCATCAAACTCTACCTTGCACTACAGTAAGTAGGTTGTCCACACGTCCGTCCGCCTCACGAGACCATAATTTTCTTGAGACTATCAGGATCTGAGACTCGTTGCTCTTGGCAACCACTGCGCAGCCTAACAGTGTCAGGTTGGCGTCTGCGCCCAGTCAATGACAAAGAATGCTGAAAGAAGTCCTCTGGACTGCCACCGCTTCATTCCTTTCCCCTGCTCAGAGGCAACAGTTCTGAGCAAAGGAACAAAGAAAGATGGGAAGAAAAGAGGTGGACGGTCTAACGACAAAAAGTCGTGAATAGTTCCACAATAGTGAATAGTCACAAGAAAGAGAGCCCAAACCATTCAGAGAAGAGATGGAAAGGGAAAAGGCCACTATGGGGCGGAACGTTAAGGATCAATTAGACGCCAGCCAGAAGTCGAGAGGGCTCGCAAGCCAGCGAAGGAAGCAGACACTGATGGCCACGGCGACGATGCTCCAGGGGACCTCAGGTCACCAAGGGAAGTGAGGCAGTTCCGCCCGCATCCCAGACACCACCCCTGCCGCCCTAGCTAGCTCCCGCACTCACTCTTGTCCAGAGGCCGGGTCAGCTCGGCGCCGACATCACCATCGGCGCTGGGGCCCTGCGGTTTCACAGTTAGGGGCACGAACAAGGACGTGTTTGGAGCTTTGGAGCCACCAGAGGCAGAGGAGGAGGCAAGGGCAGGAGCGCGCCCCAGAGGCCCGGGAAAGGGCCCAACGGGGGCACGGAGTACAGAGCAGACGGTCGCCCGGTGCCCTGCCCGGCGGCTCGCCGGGAGCCGAGCCCACAACAGGGCACACCGGGGAAAGGACATCAGGCCACAGGCTCGAATCGAGCCAGGAGCAGCCCAGGGACACGGCGGTGGACAGTGACGAAAGCGCCGGCGCCGGCGTCGGCGTCCCGGAAAGACCCAAACCCAGCCGAGGTCGGCCCGCGTGAATGCCTGATCATTAAGGAAAAGGTAATGCCGTGAGGTTGCTCCTCCAGAGAGGAGGAACCCTGCAGGGAAAACCTACCGAGAGGAACTCCTGCCCTCCCTTCTCGTTCTGGAACAATTTGGAGAACAGCTTTCCCCAAAGAGAGGACAAGAAACAGGGATCTTTGGGGATGTCACAGATGACAAAAGGGGGCCGTGCCAGGTGTGTCACGTGACCCACGTGGGTCGGTTTGGTCAGCAAGCATCCAGAAGCTCGTGGGTGCCAGTGCTGAGGGCTCCAGCGTTGCTGAAAGACTCCGCTGCTAAACAGCATTTCCCACAAGTTTGCTGCATTAACTATTTTTCCTAGTAGGGAAAATGTTAGGGACATAACTTGATTTGCCGTCAGAAGAGTTGCAGAGGAATTCGGTTGTACCACTGTAAATAGGACAGCACAGCATGTGTTAAGCACAGCGCTTCTACTTTAATGTGAGCAACTTGTGTACATCATCCTAGCAACTGGCAAGTCATAACCACACGGCAAAAATATGTGCTGTGGGTGGAGCTAAAGATTAGTTTCATTGGTGTTCGTTGGATACTGTGTCCTCATGAGGTTGCAACATAAAATCAATCTGCTAGATGTTCCACTTCCGCCTTCACACAGCATTAAGACCTTGCACTTTAAGGAACATAGTATGTAATATGTAACATGGTGTGTCAAATAGGATTCCACTAACCGTTCGCTACGTGCCTTTAATTTACAAAGTACTTTTAAACATCAGGATACTGGGACAGTCCTTTGCATTCCCTTTCTGATCTGACTTTGATGGTAATGTTACAATGCTAAACAGTGCAAATACTTATTACTAGTCTACTAAGCCAATGGCAGTTCAAAGAAAGCAATTTCAGAGCTGTAACAGCTTTAAAATCAAACAAACTATATAGAAAAGTGTAAGTAAATTCTAGTCAGTAGAAATGATATAAGCAGAGGTTTAACTATGGAGAAGGCACAATGAAAAAAATTTAAATACCAGAATTAAGCCAGGCCTCATTCTATACCTTACAAATAGTCACTTAAGTTTTGAAAAGAGAAATTGTTAACTTAGAAGATGCCACGGATAGGCTAGAACAAGCAAACACGGATAGAGGAAAGCCAATTAAAACTTTAGCAGTAGCTATAGCTGAAGGTAGCAGATTAGTGTGTCCAAATTATGATAGTGGTAAGTGGAATGGAGAGAATTGACAAAAGGAAGCTTTACACACAATTTAGTGAGTGGCAAATATGGTAGGAAATGGTATTAAACAAGGATATCATACCAGATTTGGAGGGCTGGAGGCGTGGCTCAAGTGGTAGAGTACCTGCCTAACAAGTGTGAGACCCTCAGTTCAAACCCCAGTACTGGGGAAAAAAAAAATCATAATGGAAACTGAAAATGAGAAACAAACCAAGTATTTAATATGTAATATATGTTACTTCAGTGATTGTACTTTTTAAATTTGTTCATGTTCCTGAAAAGCATTTAGAGGCACTGTCACCAGGTTTACAGAGAGTTCAGTAGGATGAGTAACTTGCCCTAATGCTTTGGTATACTATGTGTTCATCACAAACGTGAAAAGAAAAAAAATTTTGACTAAACCTTATTTTCCTAGAGATTATAAAACTAAAAATGCCATCCTTTAAAAAAATCTGGGTGATGTTCTTATACGTAAGAACCGAATGCACCTCAGCATTCGAATAGAGGAAATGGACCACGTTGTCTAGGGGGCGTTACCAGGTCCCCAAAAGAAAGCAAAATGGAGCAAAGTGGGATCATGTGGGTGCTATCTGTACAATTTCCACAAGCACACCTGACGGGTACTCCTCCTAAATGTGGGGTACCTAAAATGCCCATTTTTCCCCATTCCGCCTATTAACATGGTATGTAATCCCCAAACTAAACCAACTCCTTTTGAGCCACATTTTTATGAGCTCTTACAGATGTGATTAAATTGGGCTGATTCACTTGCATGGTTTTTGTCAAGTCAGTTCACAGGCTCCAATCACTCAGTACAAGAAAAGGTTTTCTTTCGTAACTATACGGAAACAAGAAAACTTCATTAGCGAAATAACAATTTAAGTGGTTTAGATCAGTGGGTTGATTTTTTCTTAATGCTAATGTCCCACCTCCTGAGATTCTGATTTTGTCTGGATGGGGCCTGAACTGGTTATTTTTAAAAACTCTTGATATGATTCAGTCATGCAGCCAGGGTTGAAAGCCACTGGGCTAGATTCTGCACTCTGTTAGAAACACAAATTCTTCAGTTTATTGTATCTAACTAGCCAACTTTTTTTCCTTCCTGTAGTACTTGGGGTCAAACCCAGGGCTTTGTACATGCTAGGCTATACATACCACTGTTCCCTATCTGGCCAACTTTTGACTCAAATTAACAAATACTGAATTCAAATTTTTATTTTTCAAATTGATTATACAACAAAGTCTCAAGCTAGTAAGCATCTTATATGTGATGTTTTAAGCTAATTTAAAACATTATGTACTTTAAACTAAAACTTGTACTATTTATAAAAACTCACTGTGTCACTATTGTAGCTTCCTAAATTATGAGCAATCTTCAACAATAAAGCCTTAAAAGTGAGAAGACATTTGAGAATAAAACTTTTTTTTTTTTTTTAGTGGGACTGGGGTTTGTACTCAGGACTTCACACTTGCAAATCAGGCATTCTACCACTTGAACCACACCTCCAGACCTGCCAGTTCTTTTTGTGTGTATGTCTTGGGTATTTTCAAGATAGGATCTTGTGAACTATTTGCCTAGTACTGGCTTTGAACCTCAATCCTCCTGAGCTCTGCCTCCCAAGCAGCTAGGATTACAGCCCAGCTATGTTGGGTATTTTCGACCGAGTCTTGAACTATTTGCCTATGCTGGCTTCAAACCACAGTCCTCCTGACTGTACCTCTTGAGTAGCTAGGATTACAGGAATGAGGCACCTGCAAATGGCTGAGAATAAACCTATATTAATCAAATAGCAAGCTGAATTTCTGTTTCAAATTCTTTATTATACATCATGGTTGCACAATTTGAGGCTAGTTAAATACAATTGCTTTTCAAAATCTCTTTTGAGTGTTTTCTAGATTACTACATGCAAGTGACCTTGAAAATATTTGGCATTTTTAAAATTTGAAACTCTGAACAGGCACTTACATGAAGGAAAACATTATCATTTATAGATATACACATTTAAAACAGATGCTCCAGTTCCTGGTACCTGGAACCTTTGGCCAGTAAAGAAGTTGGTTACTATTTTATCAAAGTGCCACAGTAGTAAAACAGGTTTAAAGAAATGTAATTTGCATTATTTAGCTTACTCGTAAGGTAAAGTTAACTGACAAAACTTGCACTGAAGTGTATTAAAAAATACTGGTACAAAAATCAATGAACCATAAGTGAAAGACTTTCCCACATAGTAGGCTTCATTCTGGTTCCCACAGTCCATGTTTAGTGTATGTGCAGTCAGACCCTAGGTGAAGGAGTGGATGACTACAGCCTTCTTTTTTTATAGACATTGAACAAATTAATTTAGTGTTTAAAAAATAAAATAGAGTGGGTGAAGTTTAAATGTGATTTTGAACTAGCCAAAGTTCTAGCTGGCAAACATGAAATTGTCCAGGTTTAGATAACTACATATGCTTCATAGGTCCCCGAGTCTACCATTCCCAAATTTTCTACCGAAAACAATACATCTGAAAAGTCAAGAAAATGGTATTTGCATACAGGTGGCAAAAAAATTTCTAAAATAAAAAAATACACATTTCAAAGTATTTATGGAAAAATTATAGTTTTAGTAAGTTTTAAAATGCCAACATGTGTCACCTCCACAGTGTAACATATATGGTGGTACCGCTGGGAAGTAGTAGCAAAATGCTTACTTTAAGATGGGGGTGAAAAAGAGGGCTACAATGACATGCCACATGATCCCTTGGGGAACAAAATTTAATATGCCATAGAAGATTTGAAAGAGGAATCCATGAAATGGTAGACACAGAAACACCTACAGTGAAACACTCCATATACATTTCTGAAATGCATATGTAAAAAAATACAATTCTCAAAACTATTGCAAAGGCATGTTTTAAATCTCTGCAGGATGTAAGGGCCACTCAGGTTTTCTAATTTTATCTGAACACAAATATTTAATTTTTTGCATGTAGAGAGTAAGAGGTAATCATTAGCATGAAAAAAGAAGATATACAATCAACATTATGCAGAAAGAAAGCAAAATTACAAATACCAGCCTCCTTACATGAAAATCTTTAATGTTTATGCTGCTGCATATCTGAGTGCTTATCAGTGTGCAGTTAAAAAAAAAAAAAAGGCAGCTTAAGAAATCTCCAGTGTTTCAAAGAAAGCACTTTTTAAAATGTATATACATGAAGAACATTTATACTATAAAATAAATGCAGCACTGTAAGATAAAGGAAGACTATTATATATGGAATTTTGGCCTTCCCCCTGCCCCCTACACGCTGCAATCATCTTTAACCTGCTGAACTTAATCTCAAAGATTACAGTTTTTTGTTTTTTCTTATTTTCTCCTATTCAGTTCACATTTCAGGCTGTTCAGCAGATGCCTGTGAGTCTGGAGATTCAAATCGCTGGTGAAAGTTTGTTCTCTGTTTCCTCAGTTTTTCAGGAGCTTTTCTCCACAAAATAATCTCCTAGAAAAACAAATGTCAGATATTAATACTCTCCATTATGCCCTAAATTTTACCATGGAAGTACTGACTGCAACTTCAATTTTAGCCAAACAAAATTAAATTCCTCTTACAAAAGCCTTCATCTTTCCTGACTGACCCACTTTCTCCCAATTCGAATCTTGAACTGCCCCTCTGCCTCTCTAATCCACCCACCAGAACCATGCACAGCACCAAAGCAATCCAATCTGATACACAGTCCTAGCTTTTATTGCCCTTGTCACTTCAATCTTAGATACTGAACCTACTTCCTGGCAATTGGCTCTTGCCTGAGACCCTTTTCTGATTTATCCTTCATATCACTACCCGATTAATCTTACAAACATTGCCTGGATTGCTCTTTAGTAGTTCTCAGTGCTTCCAGAATAAGTCTCCAAACACTCAGGGCCCTCCATAACTTTAATCTATTTTTCCAACACTACTGCCCTTCCTAGACACTTCTTCCCTAAACTGAATTACTCTCTGTCTCCAAAAAAACTTGGCTTACATCTTCACCTATATAGTCTTCAAATCCCTCTTACTCTGCCTATGTAACTCTTATCCTAATCAATTGATCCTGAAATCTCCCCTCTTCTAAATTCCTAACATAATTACATAACTTGCTTTAAGGTGTGATTGGTTTTCTAGATTTTTTTAATTTTTTGGTTTTTGTTTTTAAACCAACATCAGAATTTAAACATCAAATGAGTGCCGATGGGAAGTAATAACTTCTTGGGAGGCAGAGATCAGGAAGATCATGGTTCAAAGCCAACATGGACAAATAGTTCACAAGACCCTATCTCAAAAATACCCTACACAAAACAGGGGGTGGAGCAGCTCAAGCAGTAGAGTGCCTGCCTAGCAAGTATAAGATCCTGAGTTCAAACCCCAGTACTGCAAATAAAAAGCAAAACCAGAAGAGATCTATCACAACACCTACTTCTTTATTATACCCTCAGTGTTTTTACTTAAGAAACCCCCACTCACTCAGTTCAATAAAGCTTAGAAAAGGGAGTGCTTCCTAAGTGTTTATAGATCTGCCAGGGAACAAAAGACCAGCCTGGGTAGCAACGTACCTGTTGTTTGAAGTACCTTCTGTCTTCCTCATCAACAAGCACTAGATTCAAAAAATACCTTACTGAAAATTTTTTGTTCACATCTCTCATTGTTGGAGTTGGGTCATATCCTGCTAAAACAGTCTTATTGGAATGGATTCACCTGAAAGAAAGGCAACATCCATTTAATTCTAGGAGTAAGCAGTAGAGTAGACACCAAGGCTTCAGTTCCTCATGAGATACAACTTAACAGAGGGTTTCTCAGACTGCTTCTATTAACATTTTGAGTCAGATGATTCACTGTGGAAAGGTCCTATGCACTTAAAACAGCATCCCTTTCTTCTACCCACTAGATGCCAGTAGCATTCCCCCAAGTGTGGTAGCCCAAAATTTGTCCAGATGATATCTTGGGGAGTTGCCCCTAGATGAGAACCACTGCTCCTAAGCTAGAATGCCCGGACCAAGCTGTGTGACCTTGCCTGGTGTGACTTAACGACTATGTTTCAAGTTTCTCATCTGTGAAATTGGGAGTAACAATAATATTTGAATTTGTAAGGATTATGTTCATGGATAAAGCTTAAAACAGTACCAGCAGGTTAAGTACTGTCTATACGTAGTTTGCTGTTTTCTGCTTTCATGAAGTTTACTGTAATTTCATCATGTACATAGTCTTAATTAACTAATTCATCCAAAGCAACATACATACAAAATGGTGACATGCCTTCATTCCCAAAAAGATTGCTGTTCAGATTCTCATGCTTTCTATTTTCCTAAGATGGGTGACTATTTCCATTTTCTCTCTTTCTTTTTCTTTATTTTGAGATAAGGTTTCATTATGTAGCCCTGGCCTCCCAAGCTGGGATTTTCAGGTGTGTCCCACCACCCCCAGCCATGCATGTTCCCTTTTAGTATTAAATATTTAATTTTTTTCATGCACATCTTTTTATTGAAAGATATAAAAACTATCAATTCTAAAAGAAGCTTGTGGCTGCTACACTCTTACTAACTAATACTGCATAACACAAGAGTACATATACATGGGTCTTGGGAGTCAGGCCTGGCTCAAACTTCACCTCTGTAATGATTAGCTCTATCACCTTCAGCAAGTTTGTTTTTACCCTCTTTGCACTTTAATTTCATCTGTAAAATAAAGGATAAAAGCACCTAACTTGAAAAACAGCCAGGAGCTATAACACCAAAACCTGCAATGTCTCTTCTAAAACTAGCCCGCAATAAATGGTATCAACTTTTTGGAGTATTACTACCAAAGTGAGAAAAATACAGAGACATAAATTTAAAATAATACTGGCTTCATTGCCTCAAACACTAAAGATTAGTAATGAAACTACTTATTTTCTTGGGGCTACCAGGACACCAAAATCCCATAGAAATTAATGCTCAGCCATTCTGCACTTTATGGTCAGAATGCAAAAAGAAAATAGAGATAAACTATTTTGACAGAAGACAAACATTACAAATTCATAACCAGAGAAGAGATACACAAAACTAAGTTCTAAATTTAAACTGAATGACATATTCAGCCTTATTTCAGACTACAAAGTACTGTCAAAGTCTTCTCAGCAACTATACAAAGATGATTTTAAAAACCATCATTATAAGCATAGTTTAAGAATTTGTAAATATTTTCATGCTGAATGAATACTCACAAAGTAAACTGCCAGGAACACTGCCATCTGCACTACACAAAAGTAGTAAATGAAAGTGGGTTACCTTTAACTGGTGCACCATCCATTATTTCGTATTTGGCAATTGTTTCTGTTTCTGTTGTGGTACTGGGTCCTAGTAAAATAACGTAAATCACGTCAACTGAAATATTTCCAACCTTAAACTTTGTCCTATTTTCCAACTATGTTATTTTTGTACTATTTTATCTTCCTATTTTGTAAAAAATGTTCAGTCATTCTGTTCTGCCTTGATACTTAACATCCTCATCACTCAACTAAATATTTCACTCCCTCATTTCCAAAGGTAAGATACAGGGGAGGTTGGGGGGAGGTGGCACAAACAATGCACATACATGTAAGTAAATGTAAAAACCATAATATAAGGAGAAAGAAAAAAAAAAAAGGTAAGATACAGTTCAGAAAAAATCATCTTCACATAGTTCCTTCTATCATTTCTAGTATCTGCTAAAACAAACTAGCAGCTTCTGAGATAAATAATTGCAAGCAGGTGTTCTTCTGCATCTCCCGAACTGTCTTTTTGTGGAGTTAATTTGAACACAGATAAAACTTCAAACTGAATACTTAAAATACATAATTTTGGGATCCACTCTGTTAAAAATTATTTGGATTCACACATTTAAAAAGTAAAGTCAATAGTACCCTTAAGTTAAAAAAAAAAACTATAGCAAGGGCTGGGGGTATAGCTCTGTGGCAGAGCACTTGCTGGGCTCATAACCGAATGGAAATATATATATATATATATTTATAGATGTTTATAATTATGACTAGCAATTACAAATTCTCTCTCCCTCTCCTCTCTCAACACAAAGAGCTGGCAGAGTGGCTCAAGTGGTGAAGTGCCTGCCTAGCAAGCATAAAGTCCTCAGTTCAAATCCCAGTATCATAAAAAAAAAAATTACTTAGTTACTTAAAACCAGCAATATTAAGTATCAAAGTTAGTGTGTAGCTATCAAATATTTTAAGATTTCTAAAATGTCAACTGAAAGTATTTTAATTCAAACACTCTTCAACTTACCAATTCCTGTGATCTCTTTTTTGATCAGTTGTAACTCCATGTGTTGTATTTTTATTCTTACTAATAAAAAGTAAATTTTTCCAACAATCACATCCTTTAAATGATACCTATTGGGAAAGAATATATCCTACTTACTAAACAACAGTTTCAACACAATCACAAAGGAGGAATAGGTCATGAAAGGCTTTAATAGGTATCTTTAGGATAATAGATATTTTAAAATACATTTGGGGAGAGGTTTTTTTTTTTTGGGTCTTTTCTTTTTTGGTGCTGGGATCGAACCCAGGGCCTGACGCATGCTAGGCAAGCGCTGTACCACCGAGCTACATCCCAGCCCTTAAAATACTATTTGACTACTCATTATTCAAATATGGAATCAAACTTTTACTTGCCTATCAATATATCTTGGAGGAAATCAGTAACCTAATTAATTAGTCCTACTTAGGACTTAAGTTTCAGGAAGGCTAAGCACATAACTGGAATGAAAATTTAAAATTTTTATGCTGTAAATATTTATTTCAAACATTAAATGCTCTACCCAAAAGTTTAGTGTCATTAGTATTTAAGTGCTAGAACAGAGCAACTAACATTTATCATCTGGCCACAGAGATTAACAGGGGCCATACCTCCACAGTTTGAATTGGTATAATATCTAATAGCCAAAGACCATTCAAAAGCACTTTAAAATCATGTGGCAACAAATGTGGGAATCCCCTACAATACCCAGAGGACTTTTTTTTTTTTTTTTTTTGATGGTGCTGGGGTTTGAACTCAGGACCTTGTGCTTGCTAGGTAGGCACTCTACCACTTGAGCCATGCCTCCAGCCCCCTAGAGGACTTTTTAACCTCCTCCAAGATTGTATTAATAAATTCTTAGGATGTTATTGAGATTCAATTACATAAATCTGAAAGGAGGCTTCAGTAACAAGTTTTTAGGTCCTAAACTGTGTGGCAGTTTTATCAACAATAAAATTTAAGCTTCTGAAAGGCATGTGTATCAAACTTCCAATGATATAAACTTGGGAGTGACAACTTACAAAAAAAAAAATCACATAACAGAAGAATGTGAGGGATAAAACGATGCCAATTGTTTCTTCAACAAATTAATTTTAAAAAATGGGAGATCACCTATAAAATTAACATAGATTTGAGTCAAAAAAACAAATGTGATATATTGGAAAATCTCTTTGTTTGGATACTGATCTGAACCATGTGAAAAAAAGATATAAGATGATTAGTGATATGTGAATACTGGCTAGATAGATGAAGATATTAAGGAGTTATTATGGTTCTATTATGTATGATACATAATCTTACGAACTAAATTATATGTCTGGAATTTGGTTCACTATCGACCTATATGGGAAGTGTGGGAGATGAATACAGATAAAACAAATGTGACCATGTGCTGACAACTGATGGAGCACGCATCTGGTGGTACATGCCTATAATCCCAGCACTGTAAGGCTGAGGCAGAAGGATCAGGAGTTTGAAGCCAGACTGAGATACACAGCAAAGCCCTGTCTCATAAAACAAAACAAAACACCACTGTTGAAACTTGGTAATGAGTACATGAAGATTTTACTGTTCAATACCCTGGTAATTAGTGTACTTTGGTATATGTTTGGAATCTCACATAATAGAGGTTTTAAAAGGCATTAAGAAAATAAAATATAAGCCCACTCTGTAAAAACACAAATAGGAACATTTATATTTTCCCATTTTCCCCTGAAAAGATATAGAGAGCATATTAATAGTGGCTAAATGGTAAAGGTAAAAATGTGATATTTTCATTTCCTTTCATCTTTTTTTAACGTCCTCCAAAATGTCAGTAACTAAAATGTATTGCTCAGGTAGTAAAAAACAAAAAGGATTTTTGATTAGTTTGAAAGAGATAAAATGATGTCAAGCCAGTAATAATTTTACAAACATAATGGGACTGGCTGCCTTCTGAGATGGTGAGACCCTCTACATGAAGTGTTCAGAGACTCATCAGGAATAGAATATGAAAAAATTTTGGTCTGAGTTGGAAGCCAAACTCCTGAAGCTTCAACTCAGAGATTTTATTGGTCTTGTTAACATCAGATTAATGTCAACTCTATCCTTATTTTAATCAATCTACAAGACCTGGAAAGCTTAATTTTAAATTGTCCCCCAACATTTATCTGTGAAAGGTACTCACTTTGATTTGTTATATTCAAACTCTATATGTAGACAATCTTCAATGCCCACTTCCATCTTAATAGAGTTATTAACATCAGGATAGGTGGCAAGTTGATGAACAATAAGATCATACTCTTTCACCATGTCTGTAAGTCTTCGCACTATTGTCACCTTAAGAAAATACCTACAAAATTAATGAAGATGAGGTAAATAAGCAAACATAAAGTCAGCATTCAACTTTGGGATTACGTTAGTTCATTTACCTCATGAAGGAGTTCTAGTTCTTTGGGGTTTTGATGCTGGGAATTAAATGAACCCAAGGCCTCATGCAGAGAGTAAGCATGTGCTACACCCCTAGACTATACCCCTAGCCTTTTTTTTTTTTTTTTAAAGTCCCCCAAATTAAAAAACAAAAAGCACAAAGCTCAATTTTAAGAGTATTTTTCAGATGAGTTTGTAGGGCTATCATCAAGCCTACTAGGGAAAACTTGTCCATATCACTCTTTTGTTTTTGGCAATATGAGGGTCTGAACTCAGGGTCTTGCACTTAATAGGGCAGGTACTTTTTCACTTGAGCCACGCCCCCAGTCATAACATAGGTTTTGATGCTGTTGTTTTGTTTTTTAAATACGTCCCTATCTAGTCAAGGCAATAATGTTTAGCATATGGGTTGTCAAATCCAGTACCGGATGGATGATGACAAATTAAACGGCGAAAGCAGGATCCTGGACCTGATGATTCAGATTAGTATCTTCATTACTCTAGTCTCTGAGATATGCATGGCTTCCTGCATAAAGACTTGGTGAAGGAGCTCTGCCACTTCAGTCCTGCCATTTGCTCCTTGCTCCTTTGTTCGCTTCTATAGGTGAAGATCACTTCTTAACCTTACACTGAATGAGATTTGTTAGGAAGCCAATGGATTTGGAGAGTAAATCAGTTTACGTGACAAATGAGTACCTAACATATTAGCCATACAACAGAAGTGTATAACTAAAACTTTCTGTGATGGGGTGCTCTGAATGTATCATGTTAGAAAGCCCTTATTACTTCAGATCAACAATAGCCAGACAAAATATGTGACAGAATGTTTTAAATCTTAAGTCTTCCAGTACAGAATTACAAGTTCAAATAAGACATCAACAGTAGCCATTACTGGTGTTGAGTCTGCTTACAATTTCTAATATACATTCATTCATACCTCAAGCGGACATTGGCACCGATGTAAGATTCATATGGCTTTTCAACTTGCATAAATTCAAAATCATAACTTCTGCTCTGAGTCAGTTCTCCAGGTAAAGCTAGTTCTTTCACTAGGTTTACAAATTCGTGAGTATTACTTTTGTCATTGAAAAGTTCTAAGAAATTTAAAAAAGCAAAAAGACCAGTTAAATTTTATATCTATTTCAATAAAACCCAAACTTGTATCTTAAAACAAAAAATTTTACCAAAAGAACTAGGTGGATTTGTCTCTAATAAACCAGAGCTATGATTTGAATTTTATTATCATTATTATGTTCCACTTAGGCATAAATAAACTTAAGAAGCTAGCACAATGAAAATTTGTACTAGAAACGAGTTCATTCTTTTCATGTAATATGGCCTCTCCCAATCTGAAGCTGTTTGACACATTACCACCAATAAATTGATAATTCTCTTTAAAACAATCCTGCTTTGTGTTTTATTAGACAGATACATTACCTTGATAAAACAATGCACTAAAGAATAAAACTATAGCTAATTACTATAACTTGCCCCTCAAGTAAAAGCTCACCTAAAACAGATATGTAAACAAATATCCACCTGTTATAATTTTGATACTTTCAAAATGTATGGTAAAACTTAGCTAGATTTTAAACCTAGCTATGAAGACATACTTTCTTTTCTCTTTTCTTAATCTGAGGTACCAAAAGATTTATATAGTTTAACTCCCTACTAAGTCACAAATGTCTCTGAAATATATGTATGAAAATGTACACAATTTGATCTAAGTCAAGAAGAAATTGCTTCTTTCCTTTTTACATGGAATTTTCTATTGACAGGTGAGTCTAGCTACAGGAACACACTAGGTCAGGAAGACAAATGGCATGAGTAATTAGAAACTGAAAGATGAAGGTGAGGCTGGTAATTGTTAAGACTGATGAAAAATGTAGGCAGATGGAAATTTCAGAGTCAATTAATTTACTTTATTTTTCAAGACTGGTAGTTTACGTAACTCTTTCATTTTCAGTAATGAAATCCAATTAGGGCAGAATGAGTCAAATATTTAATACAATTAAAAGAAACATGATTTAACATATTATTAAATCCCCTCTTTTATTATGCAAAATCAATCCCTTTCTTCCATAAAGTTAAGTTTTAATTCAATTATTCAACTGCCAAATCCAACACTCATCAAACTCAGTTATCAAAGGAAAAAAAATACTATTTTAAAACTCACCAATTTGACCTACAAATTCAATTCTAATTCCTTGGTGCTCTAGCCTCTTTCCAGGTTGTTTAAAGGCTAGGTTTACCTGCCAAAACATGAAATTATAAGAGATGTTAACAGTCCTTTGAGTGGGCCTGCTAGATTCCTTCCAGATGAATATAATACACAAGTATTTCAGGTATTCATTTCTGAAATATAAGACACCACCACATACCTAGGATGTCCTTATAGCACCAGAGAAGGTATAATTTATTCATACAAAATCATTAATGAACCTATTACACATATGATTAAAACATCAGCTTTATTAGGAAGGAGTCCCTCATAGCTGGAAAAATACAAGAATACTCAAACGAAAACCTTCAGCTATTCACATATGTTTTATGGTCAAATAATGAAACAATTCTACAACTAATAATATCATTTTAATGTGAAGTAGTCACTAATTTCACGAACTGACCTAGCCAGGCCCTGGTGGCTCACACCTTAACCCTAGCTACTCAGGAGGCAGAGATCATCAGTGGAATATCTCAAAAAGCCCCATCACAACAAAGGGCTGCTGGAGTGGCTCAAGGTACAGGTTCTGAGTTCAAACTGCACTACAGCAGAAAACACACAAACACACACACACACACACATCTTAACATTTAAATTTTGGATATAATTTATTTTGCATACTCTTAAAATAAATACATAATTTCAAACCTTTCACATACCTGCCAAGTGGGAACCTTAAACATAAATTTTAATTTGAAAAGTATCTGCATAGTACGTAAAACTCCAAATGTTTACGGATTAGCTAACAACAAATCCTTTCTCTTCCAAAAAAAAATAAATAAATAAAGCCTCCAAGTTTCTTTTCTTAGGTTGGGGATCAAACCCAGGGCTTTGCACGTGCAAAGCACAGGCTATTCCACTGAGCTACATCTTTAGCCAGCAGGTTCCTTTTCTATAGCAAATACTGGTAATGACTCTGAAAAGCTTTTCTTCAATGCTTCTCAAAAGGTGATTGAAATCAGGGACCAAGAACAACAGAGGTCCAATTACTTTTGCCTATAAAATATTCATTCTTCTGCACCTGAATCTTGAAACCAATGTTAGTTACTTGCTTCAGAAGAAGTAAATTGTGGTATATCATATGATGGAATATTAAAAGTTTAAAAATAACAGCTTTTAATGATGTGGGAAGATGTGCATGATATGTTATATGAAGGAAGCATGATCAAATTGTAGACAAGTATAAAGCCAATTAGATAATCCGAAACTACAAAAAGAAAATATTCTTATTAGCAGTTGCTTCTGGAATTAATGATTATAGGTAATTTTGTTTTCTTCTTTGTAGATTTTTTCTTTTAGCTATTTCTTCCTTTTATTTCCAGTTTGTGTTCAATGCAAATCAACCCCAAAACATGAGAAGTTAGTATGAATCATAGCATAAACTCACAAATATAACATACAATCCAATAGATGTACAGCTTTCAGGTATGAAGCAAAAGGAAGTTATTCAAACACACAGCAACTTCAGATCTGTGTGATCTGGCTATTCCTGTGTGTATTTCTAAAGATGGAAAAAAAATGACTCTGGTTTATCAAAACTACTATGGTCATATTAGATTTAGATACTGGAACATGTAAGCATCAATGTGTGACCATGTAAGCAAAAGATTTTTTCAGAAGTCTATTTTTTTGGCAGTACTGGGGTTTGAACTCAGGGCCTCACACTTGCTAGGCAGGCGCTGTACTACCTGAGCCACTCTGCCAGCCAAGAAGTGTTTATTTTTTTTTAAAGGTTTCTTCGTATCAAGACAGTTGTAAAAGATCTATTACATAATCAAGCCCACTTTTAGGCTTAGGACCAGGTTCTAACTATCTAAAAATATTAATGAAAACAGAAAGTATTCAAATGTGGCTATTTTGGTATCCAGTGTTTTAGTATTTATAGGAGTATTCATTTTTGTGGATTTAATACAGGTTAGGTTCTAGGCTTTACTTCCCAATGCTTGATTTACAGTTTTGGCTCCTTAACATATTTACCTTTCTAATTTCAAGATTTGTAATTTTGACTTCAAAATAGACCATATTTTAAATTGTGAAAAGTACCCACACATACAGATATAAAAAGTAGCAATTTCAAATTAGTTGAGGCCAATAATTCTACTTGTTGGAATCACTTTAGCTAAATGAATCTGGTGTTCTTGTTGAATGATGCAGTTGATAAGAAATGCCTACCATCTGATTTTGTAAGGATAAGATTACTCATGATGATTGGATTTGGGGGTGGAGTCTAATCCATCATTTTCCTGGCATATGTCAATTACTACAGTCAAATACAGTCCAAACACCAGTACTACAAAGAAAAAAAAAAAAGGTCAAATTCATGTCAAATCCAAAGCCACAGAGGACTGAAAGAGTTCCTTACAAGAGAGTAGTGATAGCTTAACAATGTGAAACTTTAAAGTATCTCACATTAAATTAGTGCTGTTGAAACAATACATTGTGGATTTACAGTAATACCTGATAGTTCCTTCTCATATACACAGAAATACAATCAGGAAGCTTTTATATTAACTGTTTCCTGGCCTTATAAATTTAATGAACCAAATGAAAACTGGATCTTCCTCCTGTCCTTATCTCTTTCTCTCTTTTTTTTTTTTTTTTTGGTGGTACTGGAGTTTGAACTCAGGCCCTCACCCTTGCTAGGTTTGCACTCTACCACTTCAGCCACTCTGCCAGCTCCTGTCCTTATCAGATAAAATCTATTCTCGTTTTTAAGGTAGAATGTTAAGTATCCGTATTCCTTAAGTCACGTTCAAGGAAACTGTGATCATCTTCAGCTCGCACATCAAACGCCAGCAGATTCAATGTTTGCATTCATCATCTGTCAAATTCTTCAATCAAATTTGGAATTCTTAAAGGTTTCTGTGTCAAGAAAATAAGGTGTGAGACTTGATGCAGACCTGTTTCTTCCGTGCCACACTCGACTTCTAGTTGCCACATGCATTGGGTTTAGAATATGAGCAAGTACAGACATTTCTCAGTCCAAGTCTCTAATCTTTGTAAAGACAGAAAAAGCTGGTTGCCAATGGCTCACACATGTAATCTTAGCAACTTGGGAGGCTGAGAGAGGGAGGATCATGGCTTGAGGCCAGACGAGGCAAATAGTTTTCAAGACCCATCTCCAAAATAACCAGGACAAAATGGACTGAAGGCATGGCTCAAAAGCAACAAAGCACCTGCTTTGCAAGTCCAAAGCCTGAGTTCAAACCCCCGTCTCTCTCACACACACACACACACACACACACACACACACAAATCTATTTGGCATTACTTTGAGAATGGCTTAACATGCTATGTCTGATTTTTTTAATTTATGTTCTTAAAAGAACATTATGAAACCACATTAAAATAAAAATGCCTATCTACCCAGTTTTTTTAACTGAACTGCCTGAACTATGAAAATTTTTTGATCTCCCACTGATGTTAAAATACAGTTGCTTTTAATGCCTAATGCAATCGACTCTGCAATGTGAAGGTTTCCAGAATTAGAAGGCATAATTAAACATCTTTGTTTAAAAGCTGTTATGCAAGGGAGCATAAAAAAGTAACTGAAACCATAATGGTGAACTGGACCAAATAATTGTATTATCTTCTCCTTACATACACATGCACAGATCACTTTTCATAACCAAGAATAAGCTGGAAACATCGTGCTCCATTACCCCTAAAACTTTCATGTACAGTCTAAGAAAATGGGCATTGTCTTATGTAGTCACATTAAAATTATCACAATCAAGAAAGTTAAAATTCCATAATCTATATTCAAATTCTGTCAGTTGTCCCAATAATGTACCTTATGGACTTTTTCCCACTTGTCTAGGATCCAAGCTAGGCACACATCACATGTAGTTGTGGTATCTCTACAGTACTCTTTAATCTGTAACATTCCTCAGTCTCTGCTTTTTATTTTGTTCTTTTTTTGAGACAAGATTCTCTATATGTAGCTCAGACTGCCCTTGAACTTGTGATCTTCCTGCCTCATATTCCTCAGTGCTGAGATCACAGGTGTGTACCACCACACCCAGCCTAATCATTGTCTTTCTTGACATTGATTTTTTTTTTAATAAGTTGATTACTTTGTAAAGTGTCACTTAATTTGGGTTTGTCTGATGTTTTACCCCAATTAGATATAGCTTATGTATTCTTTGCAAGAATACTACAGAAGTGAAGTTGTACTCTTCCCAATGTGTCGTATTAGGAAGCACATGATGCTAGAGCCTACAATAGTGGGGATGTTATCTCTCATCACATGGTTACGGTCATCTACCTGATTTCTCCAATTTAAAGATACTATTTCTTCCTTATAAGTTATTAATAAGTAACTTATGTGGAAACACTACACATGCTTAAAAGGTCATGAAAACTGAATGTAGGGAAATCATATCTGTACGTAAAACATCTGCCCTACTCCAATAAACCAATCTCAAATCTCATACTTCAGCATATGATATTCTATGGATGTCTCAAATGCTCCCGTCTTTGAGATTTATTTAAGAAATGAAATTCTATATTGTGTATAGTCAATGTACTATACGCCATTTATAGTGTTAATTAAGAGATGCCAAATGTCAGTACACTTGTTGCTATATATTTTGAGTATCTAAGATCATGTTTGCAGGTGCCACCAGAAGTACACGGTCCATTATCCATGTTGATTAACGAAATTAGAAAAATATTCCTTGCTTAAACAGGTAAATATAAACTCCCATGATCTGAGACTAAACATACCCCTTTGTTCACAGGGAACAGATACACAGTTCAGTGTATATCTGTCAGTATACACTGACTGCCTGGCATTCGTATCATTACTTCAAAGTATTTTACTGACCACAGAGCAATCTAGTCCCTTTCTCAAGACAAATAATAAAAAGTCATCTACAAATGGAAGTAGGGAACAGGAAAAATTGATTTTTACATAAAATGTCACTTTGAAACAATTACCAACTATTTTTAATTACTATCTCTTTACCTTAAAGAAATCTGGTAAGACGTTCTCTCATTTCTGCCTCCTGTTACAATAGCTAATAC